CTGCCTTTGTCCATTTCTTTACTAACAAACGGGAAGCAAGGTTAGCTACTTCAGAATTAAATAAAATGCTAGCAGGGCACTTGGCACGGAGCAAGTAGAGAGTAGTGTCCGCCATCGTCATTACATTAAGTGCTTCTGCTTTTGAGAATGCTCGAAACACAAAACACGACTCTCTTCCTGACGTAAGATTTGTAAGGATAGATGTTTCTGAGAATGACTCAGAAGAAAGCTGAGATGTGAGTAAAGGGTATGCTGTGATGGTCTCAAGCTGTGAGGAAGGAAGAGCGATGGGTGGGAATTTTACCAAGTATTAACACTGTAAATGAGACAGCAGGAGAGAGACATCTGTGGAGAGCCCCTAAAGATTCTAAAGTTAGAAGAATCACATTCTAAATGACTTCTGCTTTCCCATGCCTCTCGTCCTACCAATCTCCTCTTTTCTTGTGCACTTGAAAGGATCCCACACTGCTCTTTCAAACTAGCCCACGTCTGCCCCATCCCCAATATGTCCCATCTCCGACATAGGATGAGTGTCCAGTCCACTTGGTCCCAAACAAGATTCGAGCCAGGGAGTTGTTAATGGGCTTTCCCAAGAGGAATGCCTCCCTACCCAGCGGACCGGGGCAGTTTTAGAAAGCCTATGGACCTTTCCATAACTATTCAAAAACAGCCATAGTAAATGGCACAGTGCTGCATGCCTGTAGCCCCAGCACTGAGAAGGAGAAGGCAGGACTGTGAGCTGAAGGCCAGCTGTAATGCAGAACAGGCCCCTGTCTTAGAAACGCATGTCATCATCATAGTAAATACACTGCTCTGTGACTCTGAAAACACTTTCTTACTGGTAAGCAATACGAAAAGAGTAGGGGAAGGAAGAGGCAGAAGAGAGGAGGAGGGACTGTCTGGGAAGACAGACTGCTACAACTTAGACAACTAGAGGCACGTGCAGCATTCAGAGGGCAAGCAGCAGTCTGGTGGAGAGGAAGGAAATGGGGCTTAGTTTAGCTGCCTTCCTCAAAAGTTCAGGATATCCCAAATCATTTCAGTATGTGTGGACAGGGGCCACATGCACACTACTCTCCTGAGGGATGAACCCGTTCTCTAGTGGACTCAGTTTCCCTCTTTGGTATGGTTGCGTTTATATGCCATGTCACCAAATGGCATTTAATGGGCCAGAAAACAGTTTTCCTTTGCTTTGTTAACACAGTTGAAAACTAATGAAATAATAAATCACAGTACTGCCACCAGGACGTTAATCTACAATGAACTCTTAAGAAGCCATTCTTGAAAAAGTCCCAGCCAGGCATGGGAGCACATGCCTGTAGACAACCCCAGCATTCAAGGAAGAGGTACAGACAGGAACGGGTCAAGTTCAAGCCAGGTGGGCTACAAGAGACACTGCCTACAAAAATTCAACACAACAAAGTAAGTCACAAATCAACCTGTTTCCAAAAATGAGCAAGAAAAATGCATGTTCTAATGAGTTGACTGTTCCTCTAAAACCCCTGGTTTTAGGCAGATGAGTCTGTCATTACAAAACAAAGTACTTTTATTCTTTAAAAATGTAGAAAAGTATACAGCAGATTTGAATTATAGCCAATTAACACATACTCAACTCCTAATTAGGTATATATTTTAAAATGACTATGAGCAATTAAAAAACAAGAAATGAGGCTAGAGAGATGGCTCATCAGCTCAGAGCACTGGCTGCTCTTGCAGAGGACCCAGGCTTGATTCTTAGCACCCACATGGCAGTTCACAACAATCTGTAACTCCAGTTCCAGAGGATCCAATGTCCTTTTCTGGACTCTTTGGGCACGACACATATACATGGTGCAGACATAATACAGGCAGGACACCCATACACTTAAAATAAAAATAAATAAATCTTAAAAAAAAAGAGAAGGAAGAGATAACATATATTCATAGAAGATAAACTTATCTATCTAAAATTTGCATATATACATGAAACTGTAAGCACAACATTGGTTTGCTGCACTTAAACACTCACTCCGGGATATTGTAAACCTAGAATTTCCCTATACATTGTGGATTTGCAAGTGCATGGAAGAGAATCAAGTTCATCTCCATGTCTCATCCTCAGCACATCAGGAGTCAACCACGGTCTTCACTGTTGGATATTCTTTGAAACAGATACTCATAATGACCCTGTCTTTTTTGAGATTCTCCCCTTTACACTACCTTTTATTCCCCTTCCATCTCTTTTTCAATCTCTAAACAGGCACACACACAAATACAGGAAAAAAGTACTTTCTTTGTGAGTGAGACATACTTTGTATACTGCTGTAATTGGAAGAAAAATAACAAGATACAGATTCTTTGTCTGGCATCATCTTAAACATAATTTTTGTTGTTCTTTTTTGTTTATTGAGATAGGATTTCTCTGTGTAGCCCTGGCTATCCTGGAACTCACGCTGCCGAGCAGGCTGGCCTCAAACTCACAGAGATCTGCCTGCCTCTGCCTCTCAAGTGCTGGAATTAAAGGTGGGAGCTACCATACACAGGCTCAAAAATGCATACATTTTTTAAATTTATATTTTATTTTCATTAACTTATTTAATCACTTTACAGCCTAATCGAAGTCTCTTCCCTCCTCTTCTCCCAGTCCCATCCTCCCCTCCTCTTTTTCTCACAGAAGAGGAGGCCCCCTCATGAGTACCAACCCACCCTGGTACCACAAGTCTCAGCAGGACTAAGCATATCCCCTCCCACTGAGGCCAGACAAGGCAGATCAGCTGGGGGAAAGGGATCCAAAGGAAGGCAACAGAGTCAGAGATGGCCCCAACTCCAATTGTTAGGGACCCACCTATATGAGGCAGCTCACAGCTGTCTGTAACTCCAGGAGGAACCAATGCCTCTGGCCTCTGTGGGCAACGGCATTCATCTACACACACACATATGTAATTAAAAAGTAAGGTGCACATTTTTAATCCCAGAACTTGGGAGGCAGAGACAGGTGGATCTCTGTGAGCTCTAGGTCAGAGAGTTCCAGGAAAGCCAAAGCTACAGAACCACATAGGGAGACACTGGCTTAAATATATATATATATATATTATATATATAAAATATAGCTTGGATGTTTTTGCTAGAATGCAATAACTACTAGATTGTAAAAACAGAGGAGGGAGTCAAACGTCATATATCTTGAACTACTTCAGAAACGAGTTAATTCTAAGATGTTTATATGCTAACAAACCACTCCATATACGTGCTAGTATGCTAAAGCCACAGAAGAACATCCCACTCATGACGAGGTGGCAGACTGCTTGCCCAGCATGTGCAAGGTTCAACCCCAGGAACTTAAATCTTCCATTCCTATCATGGTCATACTGAGCTCCAAATTTCTATTAATACTTTAAAAAGAAATAAAGTCAATCTTAACTGAGCAGAAAGAAACAAATTAAGTGGAATTCAAATAATACCTACAACTGCTACTAGCCAACGGGTGAAGGAAAATTTATGTCACATCATGTACAATTGTTGCATAGAGAACTGTTAAAAGAGTGTTTCCTTCATTCTATAGTGATGTGGTTATAACAAGCAAAATACACAGACATAGAAAGGAAACAAAAAACAAGCTGTACAAAGAAAGCCTATTCCTCTGAAAATGAAAAGTATTCAGCATGGAGAATATTCTTATCTTTACTCCCTCTGCCATACAAAAGGATTCCTATCAGAACTCTCATTATCTGGAGATTAGAGCACAGAACTCAAACAAAATGTTTTTCTAAGACTCAGCCAGGTCTATCAAGGACCACTTTTTAGGTTAGAAGAGAGGTAACACTGGCTTGCACTGACTGAATCTAGTTGTTCCTTGCTGCTAACCTGACAATCACCACCGCAGTTTTGGACCTCTGATGTTTGATTAAAGAGCACCATCATGGAAGACAAGGAAGCTGGGTCACGTTCAATTCTCCTAAACGGTTACTGAAAGCAAATAATGAAATTAGTCTAATCTTCAACTTCCTCATCTGAAAACGGGGTACTCTATTACGCTCATGGAGACTTGATAGCCGCGACAGCCATGGTGCATGTACACATAGGAGACATTCAACAAATGTTTATCTTTTCCACGGGTTTGGATGGGGAGGCAGAAATCGCCGAGTCAGTTCTTGGCAGCTGAGAGCCGTCACATCAAGATCTGCACTGTTGAGGTTTAAAAATTAAGGAGGGAAGAGGGCCTCACTTACCCCAGGCAACTTTTCCTCCCATTTTACAACTCCTAACTATACCAAGGTCTTTGGTATTTACACCATCCTGTGAGTTGTCAGCCACATTTTCATATTGTAAGGACTTGTCTTTCCAAACCATCCTCCTACTCCAGCCCTTTTCTTTTCTACTCTTACTGACCAGCTCATGGCCAGCAGCAATAAATATTTGTTGCTTAAAAGAGCATCAATTGAGGGTTCGCTGCATTTAGGGGGCTAGAGAGTGGCCATGCCTTTAAGGCTTGGAAGCACCTTTCCTGACAAAAGAGACAACACTGGGAGGTGCCCTAGCCAAGCCACACTTTCCCTGCCCTTCCCCTCGCGCATCTAGGGACCATTTCTTTTCTCACTTTGGGGGGTACGGGGAGGGGTGAGGGGTTTATGACTCTCACTTATGGGCTTGGGGAACCCGCCTAAAGACCTTCCCCTCGCCGGGCCGAGGCCGCAGGGCGGCGACGAGGCAGCCACACCTACTTGGCCACCGCGGCTGGGAACCGGTGGGGGCGCGTCAGCCGGTCCCGGACGCCAGCTCCGCGGTTCCTCCGGGAAGGACGCCAGTGCGCGGCGGCGCCGCCGGCCGGCGCCAGGGGACGCCTCGGCCCCAGCACGTGGAGGCCGAGGGGCGAGCGAGCCGGCGGGGCCGCGGCCTGGGGCGGCCGGGAGCTGGACAGCACCGAGGCGCGGTCACCGCCCCCCCACCCCCAGTCCCCGCGCGCGGACCCCACCCCCGGCCCGCCGAGCCGGTCCCGGCGGCGTCCCGGTCCCGACACTCACGGTGTTTGGCGCCGCCGCCGCCGCCGCCGCTCGGGTAGCTCAGCAGCAGGAAGGGCAGCGGGGAGCCGGGCGACGGCGGGGTCCTCCAGGCGCGCTGCGGCGGCGGGCGCGCTGCAAAGCCCGCTGCTCCATCGCCCGGGTACAGCAGGAAGAAGGGGGCGGCCACCGGCGAGTCCGGCTCCGAGGGCCCCGCCTCGTCCTCCCGGGCCCCTCCGCAGGCGGCAGCACCGCTCGGCGGCTCCGGCTCCTCGGGTCTCCGCTCCCCGCCCCTCGCCGGGTCCCCGCCGCAACTTTCAGCAGCCGCGCCGGGCGGCGGCGACTCGGCCATCCCTCTCGCTCGTGGCTTCGCGGCGCCGCCGCCGCCGCCGCCGCTCCAGGCCCGAGCCCGAGGCTCACGGCGAAGATCCGGTGCCCCGTCGAGCCCGCGCCGCCTCCGCCGCCGCCGCCGCTCTCCGCTCCGCGTTCCGCCCGCCCCGCCGGGGCCCGGCCAGCCGAGGACCGCCCCGCCCGACGGCGCGGCCTGTCCGCCCCC